CTCGCTGCGAGACAGTAAAAGACTGTCTCGCTGCGAGACAGTAAAAGACTGTCTCGCTGTGAGATAGTAAACACTGTCTCGCTTGCGAGACAGTAAAGACTGTCTCGCTGGCAAGACAGTTCATATTTGTATTCTTTTGATTTGCGAGACAGTAAAAGACTGTCTCGCTGCGAGACAGTAAAAGACTGTCTCGCTGTGAGACAGTAAACACTGTCTCGCTTGCGAGACAGTAAAGACTGTCTCGCTGGCAAGACAGTTCATATTTGTATTCTTTTGATTTTTTGATGATCTCCTCTTGAGCTGTATTTGGATATCTATTAGCATTTTTTGACGCCTACAGATACCCCCTCCAAAGTATTCCAGACTCATTCTTGTATAGAGAAGTCTGGGATACTTTGGATAAGATAGATTTTACTTACGATCTCTTCAATACTTGGTTGAGTAGATCGTGTAGAGGAATCCAATATTCTCCAGAAACTTCCTGTTGAGGGTGGGAATACAGTTTAGACTCGTGTACCCGTTGGAGTATGCAGGTTATTCTTAAGAATATTCTGAGTAATATTCTCCAGAAACTTCCTGTTGAGATTAGGGAAATAGTTTAGACTCGTATACCTATTGGAGTATTCTGGTCTCTTGTTTGTTGGTAGAGATGAACCCGATGATGGAGAGGAAGAATTTTATATTCTATCTCCTGGTCTCTTGTTTGTTGGTAGAGATGAACCCGATGATGGAGAGGAAGAATTTTATATTCTATCTCCTGGTCTCTTGTTTGTTGGTAGAGATGAACCCGATGATGGAGAGGAAGAATTTTATATTCTATCTCCTGGTCTCTTGTTTGTTGGTAGAGATGAACCCGAAAATCGGAGAGGAAGAATTTTATATTCTATCTCCTGGTCTCCTGTTTGTTGGTAGAGATGAACCCGAAAATCGGAGAGGAAGAATTTTATATTCTATCTCTAGGTGCGAAGGAAACTCAAAGTGGGATCTTCACTTAGAGAATCTGGACGGGTTTGAATAATCCTAACTGTCATAAGGTTTGATTATTCAACTAAAAGAGGACCTCTCGTTCATGGAATGAGTCGAGAAGAGATTTTGGTTGTGGTCCTAACTGTAGTAAGGTTTGACCAAGTGGGAGTTTTGAGACGATCCTAACTGTTTAAAGGTTTGATCGTTCAATTTGTGGACCTCTCGTTCATGGAAGGAATCGAGAGGGGATTTTGGTTTTGGTCCTAATTGTTTAAAGGTTTGACCAGATGGGAATTTGAGACGATCCTAACTGTTTAAAGGTTTGATCGTCCAAATTGAGTGGACCTCTCGTTCATGGAATGAATCGAGAAGAGATTTTGGTTGTGGTCCTAACTATAGTAAGGTTTGACCAAGTGGGAGTTTTGAGACGATCCTAACTGTTTAAAGGTTTGATCATTCAATTTGTGGACCTCTCGTTCATGGAAGGAATCGAGAGGGGATTTTGGTTTTGGTCCTAACTGTTTAAAGGTTTGACCAGAAGGGAATTTGAGACGATCCTAACTGTTAAAAGGTTTGATCGCTCAATTTGTGTGGACCTCTCGTTCATGGAATAAATCGAGAAGAGATTTTGGTTGTGGTCCTAACTGTAGTAAGGTTTAACCAAGTGGGAGTTTTGAGACGATTCTAACTGTTTAAAGGTTTGATCGTTTAATTTGTGGACCTCTCGTTCATGGAAGGAATCGAGAGGGGATTTTGGTTTTGGTCTTAACTGTTTAAAGGTTTGACGAAATGAGAATTTGAGAGGGAAGATTGATCCAACGAAGTGATTGAATCTCATCTCAGCAAAAGAGTATTCGAAAATCACTATGGGGATGTAGTGTTTATCACTTTGTTTGTAATGATCGGGTTATCCCTAAGAAAACTACATATAGAATT